TCTTCACTATAAATGGTAAGCTGCTCTCCATTCTCAAAATTCATCACCCTGTTTCTATAGGCCTTTGCGGGCTGCATATAACCAATGCTAATGACAATGAAATGTGGTAAGAATGTAGAAACAGAGTACTATGGGAGGACAGAGAAATGTGTGAATAAGCCAAGATTGTAAGATACTGTGTTCCTTATGTCAGAGAGACTGATGCCCACAGAAGTTAATGCTGTGTGAAGTTCACAGAGCTAAAGAGTTGTGGCGCTGAAACAAGACTCTCAGATTTGTGATTGCTAGCTCAGAGATCTTTTCTGAGAGCACGTTGCCTCTAAGAATTCATCAATATAGGTGCAAAAGTGCACCGTATTCCCGCCTCTCCATTCTGTACCCTGCTGTAGACCAGACGCACCCCAGAGCCCAGACTTGGAAGTTCGTCTTCTAAAACCACCCCCTTGACTGATAATAACTGTCTGCTTAGACCTCTACTAGCCTCCCTTGGACTCGGTGGGCCACTTCTTCCCTTTCTAAACCATATTCTTAGTATCATATGCCTTTCCATTCAAACCCTTTTGTTTCCAAAGAAATTTTGGAGCACATATCCTTAATATGTGTATATTTATTAATAAATTACACTCATCAACTAGTATGTATTATCTATATCTATCTATCTATCATCTATCTATCTATCTATCATCTATCTATCTATCTATCATCTGTCTAATTAAAGCTATTTTGTGAAGCCTAGGAAACCTGAAATAAAAAAGGCATTGGATAAAAATAAATATGAGCAGAAGTCCTAATGTGTTCTTTCTGGTCATCAGTGGGTTGTTATCGCTCCCGTTTCTCGTCTCCAAAGGAACTGTGTTTAGTCTTAGGAGAATAAATTTCAAATATTGCCACTTTAATTGTTAGAGCCCGTTTTCTTTATTCCTATTGGTACTACTCTTGTTCAGATGTAAACCTCTATTCATCTTCATACTTTTTGTTTGCACAACCTGTATTATTCAGATTTGTCCAGAGAAACAGATATATATTTAAACAGTTGTATATGTCTGTATCTATTTATCTCTGTATCTGGGACAAGTTGAGACTTATTTTAAGGAACGGGCTCTCGTGATTGTAGGAACTGGCAAGCCCCAAATCTGCAGGGCAGGCCAAAGGCTGAAAACTCGGGTGGCGTTTTTATGTTATAAAAGTATGTTATGGAGGTAGAATTGCTTCTCCTTAGGGGACCTCAGGCCCACCCACATTTTGGAGGGTAGTCTGCTTTATGCAAAGTCTACTGATTTAAATGTTATCATATCACATCTAAAGCGGCATCTAGACTGGTGTTTGGCCAAACAACTGGGCCCCATAGCCTGGCTATAAAATTAACCATACCCCTATCATAATTTTCCAGCTGGAACTTTTGTGGTAGCCTCCAAGCTTATCTTCCAGACTCACATGTCCAATATTTCAACCCATTCTCGTAATGCTAAAAGGACCTCTGAAGGAAAGACATTGGTAGGGGGGCGTTTGTTTGGTTCTAAGCAGCATAAGTAATAATAATATTCACTGCAGTAATAGATTGCTTTAGCATTTCCCCAAACACCGCTATGATAAAGTTGAAGGCTCTGTGCAACCTTAACTCTTCTAACTTTCCAACCTCATCTTTCCCATCGCTGCCAGACTTGCGTACCCTCTAGCTACCCACAAAGGTACTCTTAGCTCTTCAAATGCACTGAAAAGTTTCCTGTCTCTACGGCCTTGCTTTATGGACCAGAACAACACTAATATCAGGCAAAATACAAGATGACAGAAATAAAGAAGAGGCTGTGGCAGAAGTTGATATGAATAATTCAAGCTTTTGAGATCTGAAACAGTTCATTAGGATGGGGAAAGGGTGAGATGTATGATGTGGTGGGCTGAATTGTGTCACGCCCCCCCCCCNTAATTCAAGCTTTTGAGATCTGAAACAGTTCATTAGGATGGGGAAAGGGTGAGATGTATGATGTGGTGGGCTGAAATTGTGTCACGCCCCCCCCCCAGCCCCCATTCATATGTTGAAGTCTTAACTCTTACTACATTAGAATATGACCATATTTGGAGGCAGGATCTTTACAGAGGTAATTAGGTAATTTAGGGCATGCCCCTAATCAAGCCTGACTGGTGTCCTTATAAGAAGAGGAAATTTGGACACAGCCATGCGCAGATGAAAGCTGATGTGAGGACAGAGCAAAAGGCAGCCATCTACAAGCCAAGGAGAGAGGCCTCAGAAGAAACCATACCTATTGACACCTTGATCTTGGACTCCAGCCTTGAACTTTGAGAAAATACATATCTGTTGTTTGCACCACGCAATCTGTAGTACTTTGTTACGGTAGCCCTAGCAGACTCATACAGGTGGAGTGAGGAAGGGCGCCGGAGCACTGAGTCAGCTAAAGCTACATACTAGGTTACAAAGGATTTCCAGAATGTGGTGGAACTTTGCTTGGTACTTGAATTAACCATCCTTGAGTGGTTTGGAAAGGGGATCTCTAATGATGTTTGTTTGGTCTTAAAGGAGAGCCTCCCAGAGAAGAGGGTTTCTCAGTAGGCACCGAGACAGAGCTTTGTTTTCGTAGCTTGGGTCCTTTGTTGACTGTGAGGGCAGAATCCCTTCTGCCACTGAAATGTCAAGTCTCACGTGATGATTTCAGACCCGGACGGTGGACTGAACAACAGGTGGTAGAGGTTTTCTTGCTCTTTTCATTTTGTGCTACTCACACAAGGGTCATAGCAACCTTCCCTTATTCTTGTTAGCTTGGGTTGGCTAAAGTGCCAGCATTTCCCTGGATTTTTCTTTTCTTTTTTTAATAGACTGTATTTTTTTAGAGCAGTTGTAGATTTATGTGAAAATTGTGGAGATAATACAGAAAGTTTCCACGTAACCTATACTGTTTCCCTATTACTACCGTCTTATATTAGTATGTTACATTTATTATAATTAGTGGACCAAAATCTATACTTAATTAAGTCCTTTTTAAAATCACTTTCCTTAGTTTTACACTAATGTCCTTTTTCCATTCCAAGATCTGCCTATGATCCCACATTACGTTTACTTCTCATGTGTCTTGAGGCTCCTGTTGGCTGTGACATTTTCTCAGACTCTGTTCTTGATGACTTGACAGTTTTGAGGGATACTGATCAGGCATTTTGTAGAATGTTCCTCTACTGAGATGTGTCTGATGGTTTTTGCCTTGTGATGAGATGAGTCATTGGAAGGAAGATTACAGAGGTCAAGTTTCCTTTTCATCACATCATATCAAGGGTGCCTACTATCAACTGTTGAGGTTGACCTTGGTCACTGGGCTCAGGGAGTGTTTGTCAGGCTTCTCCACTGTAGCTACTCTTCTGTACTATATACTCTTTGAAACGAAATCACCATATGCAGGATACACTTAAGGAGTGGGTACCCTCAATTTTTTAAACACAAAGAAAATGTAAAGCAGCTTTTGAAGAGCTGGTGTGAGTGATGCTGTTGCTGAATTATGAGGAGTGGCAAAAAAACCCAAAAAACCAAAAACCAAAACAAACAAACAAACAAAAACCATGCTTTTTTTGGTTTGTTTTGTATTCAGAAAAAAATAACCTATAATGTTACTATGAGAAGAAAAATGGTGATTTGAACTTTGTAATTTGTCTAATAAAAATAGATTTCAACCTTGGGCCTTCTTTGTTGATTTAATGAAGGCAATCAGTTCTTATCTGTGTCACTGTACACTTAATCTGCACCACTGGGACGCCTATGCTGTTGTTGCAGCCAGAAAAGGAAAGATTAAAATTAGTCTGTCTTACATTATTAACGGAAAGGTTATAAAACATTGTTTATATAGAGGCAGTGCCGTGACAGTTACATTTATTGGGCAGTCATAGGCCATGTGGGTTTTCCATAGCCTGACCTAGCCTGGCCTTGGGGAGTCTTTTCCAGGGCTACCCCTTCTAATACGAATGGGCCGAAGACTTCATTACCTCCCCCTAGTGGTCAGCTTTATAATCTCAGATACTCGGACAAATTCAGCCGTGGAAAAATCAAGTTTGTGGCAATCCTCATGACAATTTTCCATAATATTTTAATATGGATATTAAAATGACATGGTGATTGAATTTTAGCTGTGTCTTTTTGGATTAGAACTGATTTTTATATGAGTGTTTTAAGGTGGTAAGTAATTATAACTTGATTAAAAACCATAGTGACGAAGCAAATATGTGAGGCAGACAGTTTTCCTAGCTACGGTTATACTAAGAACCTCAGGGGCCATTTAGTTTTAACCAGGGAATTGAATTTGGCTTCTTGCAAGTGTTTTATCAGTGCTCTAGGAACAAGTGCATATTCTAGATAAACTTGAAAGCTGCGGAGCTTTATGAGGCTAGGAGTGAAGGAATCTTCTAGAGCGTTGTTTGTCATTCCTTCACAGATAACATTTTATCTCCAGTGCAGGAAATGGCCTTCTTTTAGAGCTCCATATCAGCATTTGTTATTTTACTGTGGCTTTAAAAAGATTGTGCATTTCTTGTAAGGGCCTATCTCTGGATATTCTTACAGGGCTGAAATAATTTACCAGACTTTGAGACTGGTTTTGTCTTATTCTTGATGAAAATACTACAGATACTAATTGTTTGAATGAGTTCTAGTAATTGTGCCCAAACCCAGAGTTTGATTCCATTGAGATCCAGAGTGTGTGACGTTAAAAAAAAAGGCAACTAAATCAGTGTGAAATTTGCCAGTCCCCTTAGATGTGGTCCTGATTAGGACTAAAGCAGAACTCGAGAGGCAGCAATCCACTAAACATTGCTCGTGTTCAGAAATAAGAAGGAAGATTTCCTACAGAGGACCTGTATTAAAGCAGTAGTCTGTTTGTGTCTATTTCTGATACTCTTGTTGCATATGATACCCTGTAAATACAGGTAAGGAAAGTTGATATATCTTTGTTTTTCTACATAGATGTGTGTTAAGTCACGAGGTGACCTGTCTGTTTTTACCCACCCAGCTCCATCTGATCCACTGGAATGCCACCCTTTATGGCAGTATTGATGAGGCCGTGGGGAAGCCGCATGGAATTGCCATCATTGCTTTGTTTGTTCAGGTAAATGGTCTCCTATGACTGTTGTATTGTTCAGGTGTTTATTTCTAATTCATTTTGCAGAATATATTTATTTTTGAAAGCAATAAATTTTACTTTTTAATGAAGTATAGGTGACATACATTATATTAATTTCAGCTGTACAACATAGTGATTTGATATGTATATAGGTGTAAAATTATCACCATGATAAGTCTAGTACCCATCTGTCACCATACAAAATTTTTATAATATTATTAACTATATTCCTTATGCTGTACATTATATCCCTGTGATTTATTTATTTTATAACTGAAAGATTGTACCTCTTCATCCCCTTCACTATTTCTCCCCTCCCCTCTGGCAACCATCAGTTCGTTTTCCATATGTGTCTATTTCTGTTTTGTATGTTCATTTGTTTTGTGTTTTACATTCTACATATATATGAAATCATATGGCATTTGTCTTTCTCTGTCTGACTTATTTCACTTAGCGTGATACCCTCTAGGTCTATCCATGTTGTCACCAATGGCAATATTTCATTCTTATTTATGGTTGAGTGATATTCTATTGTGTGTATACATATCTCACATTTTCTTTATCCATTCATCTATCGATAGACACTTACTTTGCTTCCGTATCTTGGCTATGCTTCAGGGAACATAGAGGTGCATATCTTTTTGAGTTAGTGTTTTCATTTTCTTTGAATAAATACCTAGAAGTGGAATTGCTGGATCAAATGGTAGTTCTTTTTATTTTTCTTTTGTATTAGTTTCAGGTGTACAAAACAACATAATGATTAGTGGTAGTCCTATTTTTAATGTTTTGTGGAACTTCCATACTGTTTTCCATAGTGGCTGCACTAATTTACAATCCCTTCAGCAGTGCACAAGGGTTCCCTTTTCTCCACATTCTTGCCAGCACTTATTGTCTTTTTGATAATGGCCATTCAGACAGGTGTGTGGTGATATCTCTGGTTTTGATTTGCATTTCCCTGATGATTAGTGATGTCCAGCGACTTTTCATGTACCTGTTGGCCATCCGCATGTCATCTTTGGAAAAATGTCTATTCAGGCCCTCTGCCTATTTTTTAATCAGATTGCTTTTTGATATTGAATTGTATGAGATCTTTATATATTTTAGACGTTAATCCCTTATTGTATATATCATTTGCAAATATCTTCTCCCATTCAGTAGGTTGCCTTTTTGTTTTGTTGATGGCTTCCTTCACTGTGCAGAAACTTTAATCTGATATAGTTCGGTTTGTTAATTTTGCTTTTGTTGTCCTTGCCTGAGGAGACAGATCACCTCCCTCACCAAAAAAAAAAATAAATTAGTACTAAGACTGTCAAAGAGGTTATTGCCTATGTTTTCTTCTAGGAGTTTTATGGTTTCATATCTTACTTTTAAGTCTTTAATGCATTTTGAGTTTATTTTTGTATATGGTGGAAGAAAGTGGTCCAGTTTCATTCTTTTGCGTGTAACTGTCCAGTTTTCCCAACACCACTTATTGAAGGGACTGTCTTTTCTCCACTGTGTTTTCTTGCCTTTTGTCGTAGATTAATTGACCATATAAGTGTCAAGTGTTTATTTCTAGGCTTGCTATTTTGTTCCATTGATCTATGTGTTTGTTTTTGTACCACGTGATACTATTTTGATTACTATAACTTTGTAGTATAGTTTGAAATCAGGGCGTGTGATACCTTTTGCTTTATTCTTCTTTCTCAAGATTGTTTTGGCTATTTAGGGTCTTTTGTGGTTCTGTACAAATTTTAGGATTATTTGTCCTAGTTCTGTGATGACATTGGTATTTTGGTAGAGATTGCATTGAATCTGTAGAGCACCATGGGTAGTATGGACATTTTAACATTATTAACTTTTGCAATCCATGAGCACAGTATATCTTTCCATTTGTTTTTGTCATCTTCAATTTCTTTCATCAATATTTTATAGTTTTCTGAGTTCAGGCCTTTCATCTCCTTGGTTAAATTTATTTCTAGGTTTTTTATTCTTTTTGATGCAATCATAAATTGGGATTGTTTTTCAAATTTCTCTTTGGTAGTTGTTATTAGTGTATAGAAATGCAACAGATTTCTGTATATTAATTTTGTACTGTATGACTTGCTAAATTCATTTACTACTTCTAATAGATTTTTGGTGGAGTGTTCAGGGTTTTTTATATTTAGCATTATGTCATCTGCAAATAGCAAGAATTTTACTTCTTCCTTTTCGATTTGGATGCCATTTATCTATCTATCTATCTATCTATCTATCTATCTATCTATCTATCTGTCTATCTATCTATCTGATTGCTGTGACTAGGACTTCTAATACTACCTTGAATAAAAGTGGTGAGAGTGGGCACCTTTGTCGTGTTCCTGATCTTAGAGGAAAAGTTTTCAGCTTTTTATCATTGAGCATGATGTTAGCTGTGGGTTTGTCATATAATATATGACCTTTTGAGCTACTTTTCTTCCATACCCAGTTTGTTGAGAGTTTCTATCATAAATGGATGTTGAATTTTGTCAAATGGGTTTTTTTGCATCTATTGAGATGACCATATAATTTTTATCCTTTGTTAATGTGGTGTATCACACTGATTGATCGGCAGATATTGAACAGCCCTTGCATCCTTGGAATAAATCCCACTTGATCATGTTTTATGATCCTTTTAATATTGCTGAATTCAGTTTACTGATATTTTATTGAGGATTTTTACCTATGTTCATCAGGGATATTGGCCTGCAATGTACTTATTTTTCTTGTAGTTTCCTTGTCTGGTTTGGTGTCAGGTTAATGCTGGCCCTTTAGAATGTGTTTGGAAGTGTTCCTTCTTCAATTTTTTGGAATAATTGAGAAGGATAGGTATTAACTTTTCTTTAAATGTTTGCTAGAATTCATTCACCAAACATTTGTGAAGTGGTCTGGTTCTATTTTTTGTTGGGAGTTTTTTGTTTACTTATTCTATATCATTATTAATAATCAGGCTTTTCAAGTTTTCTATTTCTTCCTGATTCAGTCTTGAAAGGTTGTATGTTTTTTGGAATTCATTCATTTCTCCTAGGTTGTCCATTCAGTTGGTGTATAATTATTTGTAGTATTCTTTTTTTTTTTTTTTTTTAGATTTTATTGGGGAATTGGGGGAGGGGAACAGTGTTGGGGAATTGGGGGAGGGGACCAGTCAAGTTGTTGCTCTTCAATCTTCGTTGTGGAGGGCGCCAGTTGCCATCTGGCTTCCCATCGGCAGCTTGTGGCCTCTAAGCTCAAGGTGCTGTGTTCAATCTTAGTTGCGGGTGGGCGTAGCCACCATCCCATTCGGGAGTTGAACCCGGCAGCCTTGTTGTTAAAAGCGCACGCTCTATCCACTGAGCCATCCGGTGGCAGCTCAGCTCAAGGTGCCAGAATTCAGTCTTAGTTGTGGGTGGTCATAGCCCACCATTGAACAGGCAATCTTGTTGTTACACCATCTGAGCCATCCTGTCACCTGTGGGCAGTTCAGCGACTGCTCAGTTAGGGCTCAGCATCACTGGCCCATGTAGGAATCGAACTGGTCGCCCTGTTGCTCAGAGCTCGCGCTCTTAAGCCAACTCTCAACTGAGCCCTTCGGCGGGCCCTGTAGTATTCTTTTATGATCTTTTGTATTTCTATGGTGTTGGTTGTAACTTCTCTTTCGTTTCTGATTTTATTTATTTGGACCCTTTTATTTCTTGATGAGTCTGGCTAAGGGTTTATCAGTATTGTTTATCTTTTCAAAATACCAGCTCTTAGTTTCATTGATCTTTTCTATTGTATTTTTTAGTTGCTGTTTCATTTATTTCCACTATGATCTTTATTATTTCCTTATTTCTACTAATTTGGGGTTTTGTTTGTTATTTTTCTAGTTACTTTAGGTGTAAAGTTAGATTTAAAAAAAATTTTATTTTGAGGGTTTTCTCGTTTCCCGAGGTAAGCTTGGTGTTACTATAAACTTCCCTTTTAGAACTGTTTTTGCTGTGTCCAACATATTTTGTAACATTGTGTTTCCATTTTCATTTGTGTCAAGGTATTTGTGAGTTTCTTATTTAATCTTTGTCTTGACCCATTGGTTGTTTGGTAGCATGTTGTTCAACCTCCATGTATTTTTGTTTTTTTTCCAATTGTTTCCTTGTAATAGATTTCTAGTTTCATACCATTGTGGTTGGAAAAAATATTTGATATGACTTCAGTCTTCTTAAATCTATTGAGACTTGTTTTATGGCCTAAAATGTGATCACTTCTGGAGAATATTTAAATGAATGTGTATTCTGCTGTTTTTGTAATTGATATATCGATATAGTTATAGATAGACTTACCAGCCTTGAGGTGGCTTTTTCTGTATATTCTTAGTTGCAGGACTTCTGCTCAGCTGGACTTCAAGCAATTCTTCATGATGGTTGTTCTGTAGTTGAGTTTTAGACTGAAGACTCTCTTTTTAACATTTCTTATAAATCCAGTTTAGTGGTGATGAACTCCTTTAGCTTTTGCTTGTCTGGGAAACACTTTATCTCTGATTCAATTCTGCATGATAACCCTGCCAAGCAGAGTATTCTAGGAAGTGTGTGTGTGGGGGGAGGATTTTTTTTTTTTTTTAAGATCTTTGAATATATCATGACACTCCAGGCTGGCCGAGTGGCTCAGTTGGTTAAGAGCTCACTCAAGAATGAGAGCTCTGAGCAGCAGGGTTACCTGTTTGATTCCTGGCCCAAGCTGAGCTGCCGCTGAGCTGCCAATAGGTGGCAAGATGGCTCAGCTAAAAAAAAAAAAAAAAAAANAAAAAAAAAAAAAAATCATCGGACTCCATTTCTGGTCTGTGTAGTTTCTGGCTAATAATCAGCTGATAGTCAAATGGGGGTTCCCTTGTATGTAACTAGTTGCTTTTTTCTTGATGCTTTTACGATTCTCTCATTATCTTTAAGTTTTGATGTTTTAATTATAAAGTATCTTGGTGCAGACCTCTTTGTGTTCATTTTGTTTGGGACTCCCTGTGATTCCTGGACCTGGATGTC